CTCGGGCATAAGACACATTTATTGGTCGCAAGGTTACAGACCGAGAGCTTTTAAAAAGCACACAGCAACACAGAAATATAGCAAATATAAAAATTCACCATCTCCGATAAAGATTTTAACAAGTAAACTATGTCATCGTTTTTGAACGCTATAAAAGAGAAATCCTTGTAGATCAACTTCTCTTTTTATTTAGAGAATTAAATTATTCTGTAGAAACACCCGGACAAAGGTCACTGTGATGCTGGAGAAATTTCAGTAGCAATTTATGTTCAATATATACCAAGAGAGTGAGGCATTCATTGGGCTCACCGCAAGTTTTGGAGGAAAGATCAAGATAAACCTACATCTCTAACTAGAGGTCATGACAATGCCGGAGAAAGTCAGCAGAGACCATAAAGATAGAACCAGAAGGGACCTGGACCGCTCACTGCTCATTTGATTTACTCAGGAAGGAACCGAGCCCAGGTCACCCAGACAGAGAGCAGAGGACCAGAGGCTCAAGGGTTATTCGAAATAGAAGCCTGCAGAGCAGAAAAGGGGGACCGCTAGGTTCTCTGGCTGTCTTGACATGACTGCACCCCAACACTGGAAGGTTTGGAATCCAACCAGAAAGTCCTAGGGCTCCAAGTTGGTCTGAGAGTAGAGTTGGGGAGAATTTCGCAGCCCTGGGAATACAAGGATGGTCAGGTTTATCTTTATTCTCCGGAGAGCCCAAGATAATTCTTAACCAGAATCTAAGAGCTGTACAAATAAATAAATAAATAAATCAGCGCAGCTGTGACGACCCAGCGGGAAGAGACTGGAGCCAGAATGGACTGGGGCCCGGGGCTGTCATGAGGTGTTAAAACCTCTCCGTGCGTCTCTGTCTGTACAAGGTTGCTCTGTCCTGTGTTCATGATCACAACACAAGGGAGGGGGAAGACCCTTCGCAGGGTCTGCTGCCATCCTGAGCACGGGCACTGGTCTTCATCTGCTCCAATACAAAAGGCTCCAGTGGCCAGGCTGTTGTTGAAAACTTGGACCTGACCCAGGGCACCTCACCAAAATAGCTCTTGCAAAAGGGAAAAATCAACAATGCGGTGTACTGGTCTCGAAAAGAAAAATGTTCTCCGTCCCAGTAAGACAGAGCTCTGCTTGGGAGTTGCTAACTCCCTTGCTTTGGGTGTGCTAAGAATCACACTCTACTTTTGGACACGGCTGTGTTATGGGGGCGGGGGGCGGTTCTGGGTTTGTTCTCGGAACAGCAGCAACGCAGACATGGAGTTAGTTCCAGTTCACGTTCAGCTTCAGTGGGGCTCAACTGCTTCATCTGCAGGGGGGACACTGCACAGGCCATGACGTCCCTTCTGGCTCTAAACTTGGCTTCTGTGACATGATCCATCCAAGTGCCAAGTTACTGCCCCAGGCACCCACTGAGAGGCTGCTCGGGGCCCCTGTCTACATCACACAAGGCAGACTCATTGTCCCATGGGTTATGAATTGGGGTACACTTTCTCCTCCTTATTTAACATATTAAGGACTAAGCTGAAGGTGTTAGGGAAGGATTCATTTCAAAAACCAAAATATAAGGTAGTAGAGAAATCCTTTTAGGTGTTAACATCAAGATCTGCTTCCTATTGAAACCGGAGCAACTAGCTGGTTATTTCGAAGCTGTCTTGTTTTCCTTCTTTAGAAAGATACACACATTTCAGTTGGAGGAATTCTCCCAGCACCACAAATAGACATTTTATTACTTAGCATAAAAATTACATGAGATAGATGAGAACAATCCTGGGCAATTGGGGGAAATCCAATCAGCAAACCTCATCCACATTGTCTCTTGTCAGAGGAAGAGAAGGCAGAGCGAATGTACCGCAAATCGGTTTCCTGTTTCTCAGAGGCTTTGGTAACTGGCATCACTGAGGTAGTCTGGCCGACAGGTCCAGTTCCAGAAGTATGGGCAGCACTTCGAGACTCCGCCTCCTGCGCTTCCCACGCCAGACACGTACCTTCTACCAGCAGTGGGGGCTTTGCTCTTACTCCTCTGTGTACCAGAAAGGCTCACCCGTCAGTCCTGAAGTCTATGCACTTTGAACACTTTGACGGTCGTGGTGAAGGGCGTACGTAAGTCACACAGCGTCCGTTCTCCTGCATCCCCCGGGACAGAACAACCCTGGCGGGCTTCCAACCTTCAATGCGAGCCTCCGGGACTTAGCCAGACGCAGACCACTTCAACATCTCTGGCTGCCGGACAAAGGCAATGACAGCCTGCACCCAGTGCGCCAGCGAAACAGGAAAAGGGGCCGTCCAAGTCAAACAGCATAAAGGCACATTTTCTGGAGGTGGTTGGGTTAGCCCAGTGTCTCCCCCAGCATCCCGGGCTCATTGTCCTCGCTGCTCTTGTTTTGCTTTGCTGCTTCAATTTTAGGTGCAAGTGCGGAGCAGATGAGAACCTTTGAGACAGAGATCTCCATCACACCACACTTGTGAGTACAACAGACGGCCCACATTTGTGTTGCAGCAAGAATTCACATCAGAGACATTCGCTTGCAATTTGCAGGGCTACGTGGAACTGGGCTGAGTTTATGAAGGACTGCTGGCCTGGCCGGCGGCAGACCCCCGGAGAGCCTACGAACCAAGAAACAAACTCCCTAGTGTGTGCCTGGCCATAGGGCTCTGGGTAGGCCAAGGCTGAAGTTGCTGATGTCTAGGTCTTTTAAATGGCAAAGCCCTAGATAAGTGCAACAGAGCAGAACTTTTCCCATTCCTCAACGCCTCTGTGTTCCTACACACGGGCTGTAACGTAACTGCTCGGGACGGCCCCGCTGATTGAAATGCATGCCTTTGTGACATCGCAGAAGACTGTGTCTCACGAGCTTTTGATAAACCCGAGGGAGAAAATGCATGGGTTCTGTAATAACTTAAAGGCCTTTGGTTGTGCTTATGCAGGCCTCACAGTCAACATTCTGAAAGCTTGAACCCTGACCGGCTGGAGTGTTATTTTATGTAAACGGTGCTCTTTTGACATGTTTTTGGTATTGAATAACACCCAAAAGGATTTATAGCCAAATTTTCTGCACCCAGTCAAGCAAGTGTGTCTTATTCCCTGCTTCGACTGAAAAGAAAAGGAGAGTGATGTCAAGGCCGCGGTCAGTGTCCCCTGGAAGGCTCACGGTGTGGGGACAGCAGCAGAGATCAGCGGCAAACCCCGAGAGCCGCCGAGAAGGTTCACTTTCTCGCGTGTGAAACGCTTCCCCACTCAAGGCACTGCCCAGCACGATTTCACCCTGCCACTGCTGAACCCGCTACAGGCTCTGGCCTTGACGTTTTAAAAATTAGAGGCCTGGCCCTGGCCGGTTTGGCTCAGCGGTTAGAGCGTCGGCCTGCAGACCAGAGAGTCCCAGGTTCGGTTCCCGCTAAGGGCACGTACCTCGGTTGCAATTTGTCCCTGGCCCCGGCTGGGGTCGTGTGGGTGGCAGCCAGTCGATGTGTCTCTCTCACATCGATGTTTCTCTCTCTCTCTCTCCCTCCCTCCCTCCCTCTCTATCTGAAGATGAATGCAAAAAATGTCCTCGAGTGAGGATAAAAATAATAATAAATAAATAAATAAAAATTAGAGGCCTGGAGATGAATTACCAGTGAGTGAGAACAACTTAGTGAGGTCACCTTCCAGTACCTAGAGAGGGGGAAGTACGGAAGCAACGTCTGGCAATGGAGATTACTGGGAAACTAGACATTCTTCTTACTTACTGAATAGTTACGTGACGCTAGTGACTAAATGATCAGAAACCTCCTGACGAGCCTGTTGCAGGACTGTCAATCCCGGCATGGAACAATCAGACATGGCCAATTATCTCCTTCTAAAAGTGAGTCTTGTCTTATTCTAAGTTTCATCTCATGGTAGAGCGTTAATGTTTTTATTATTATTATTATTGATTTTTTAGAGACAGAGGAAGGGAGAGAGAGAGAAACATCAATGTGAGATAGAAACATCAATCAGCTGCCTCCCTCATTCCTCCTTCCGGGGATCGAACCCGCAACCCGGGCATGTGCCCTGCCCGAGAATCGAACCGGGACCTCTCAGTCCATGGGGCAGCGCTCAACCCACTGAGCCACAATGGCCGGGCCTATGGTAGAGCTTTCACAATTCCTCGCCTTATGGCAAAGCCTGTCTGTGTGTTCATCTATAATACATTCATTAAACACATACTTATTTCACGCCTACCGAGTGTCATGAGCTGGCCAGGCTCAGGGAGACATCCGTGCACAGCCAGGACGAGGTTCCGCTCTCAGACCTGACACTGTGGTTCACGGGAGACTCACAGGAGCCGGGTCAACTGAGAACTGGACACATCCCCCCAGAGAGGGAGCTTTCTTTCATAGCGCGTCTTGTGCAAAGAGGCCATTTGGGAAGCAAATTAAAACCGTTTCTATTACCATGAAAACCTTCTGCAATTTCAGTGTCCGAAAACATGTGTAAAAGTATGTCTTCCTCCTTGGCTGTAGCAGATGAACATATTTCTTAGCAGATGACAAGGATGAGTGTTTCTAAGCATGACGAGAAACGAGGAGACATGCTCTCATCCACATGGGTTTCCACATGGGAGATTCCTCCTATTCTGAAAAGCATAAAAATTCTTCCCCATTGTATACAAATGTGTTGGTTGACATGACCTAACCGATCAAAGGATCTAAGTCTTAACAGTAATGTTATTCACTAACAAGTGGTCTGTTCAAGCGAAAAGAATAAATGACCTCTTCTAGCTCTGTATGGCGAATGACCTTACACACTGTCCCCTACATGTTCCCGCTGTGCCAAATAGCAGCTGACACACTCAGTGAAAACACCACCGTAAATGATCGTAATATTGAGACAAAGGGTCCAATTCATTTTTGAAGCTGTCATTTTTTTTGAGCACATGAATAATTCCAAACCATCTCTGAACCTGTAAAATAATTTCACCTTCCTAAATGAGGAAGAGTATTAAAACACTTACAGTCATCTCTAACCTTATCCAGTAGTCACACACTGTATTTTTATTTAACACAGACCTACCTACAGCAACATCTGTCACTATAAATAATACTTTTGAGTTGCAAATTTAATTCCATAGTCAAGGAAAAAAATAAACGTCTTTAACATGTTTATTCTCTCACTGGGATGTTGGCTCATCCTCCTGCATGCCAAGAGCACAGTTATCTGAAAATGAGAGTGACGTTCTCTGGAATGCCGTACTTCCCTTTGTGCTCTTCAAATAATTTCCTGAGCTCCTCCATGTAGGTCTGATGCAGCTCCTCAATCTGCTCCGGGGTTGGGTGCTGAGTCTGTTGAACAGGGATTGGATGGCCAACTGCAAAAACAGAATACATCAGACGTAAGAAACCAAAACCACTCCACTGCGGACTATGGCCTCCGGGGACAGCCCTGGACACAGCTTCCAATCAGAACAGCAGTCCTGCCAGCTCCAAGCCCCCTTTCTTTCCACTGGCTGCCGACTGTGGTTACCCCGTCCCATGTGATCACAAATAAAGGACTTTCCTTCCCAGCAGACACTGCTTTGTCAGTCCCCTGGTGGTGGAGACATCGAGTCACGTGGGCCACTGTGCTGCCTGCAGCTGTGAGGGCAGCGATCACAAATAAAGGACTTTCCTTCCCAGCAGACACTGCTTTGTCAGTCCCCTGGTGGTGGAGACTTCGGGTCACGTGGGCCACTGTGCTGCCTGCAGCTGTGAGGGCAGCGGCCACAGCTGTGTGGGTGCGTCACCAGCATCCCTTCGCTGGTGCGGCTGACAGCAGTAGCTGACTGTGAAATCTCGAATCATGAAGCATCAACCCTCCCCTCTGACTTTTTTTTTTTAATCCTCACCCGAGGACACTTTCCCATTTTTTGTTCAGGTAGAGTGGGAGGGAGAGAGAGGAACAGAGAGAGAGAGAGAAACATCGACGCGAAAGGGACACATCGAGTGGCTGCCACCCGCACAACCGACCAGGGCCGGGGACAAACTGCAACTGAGGTACATGCCCTTAGCGGGAACCGAACCCGGGCCTCTCTGGACCGCAGGCCGACGCTCTAACCACTGAGCCAAACCGGCCAGGGCCCCTCTGACTTTTTAATGTCATCCTAAAAAATCCAAAGACTCTATATCTTCATAGCTAAATTTCTGGACTAGAAAACATACGTAATCACAAGGATTTCACTGTTTGTAACGGTGGAAAACAAAACCCACCAAAAGTTTCAGCAGAAAAAAGATTAAATAAACCACAGAGCCTTCACTCCACGGAATCCCAGGCAGCAGTTTGTAAAAATAAAATAATATTTTTGTAACTATGTGTGGTGATGAATGTTAACTAGATTTATTGTGATCATTTTGCAATATACACAAATATCAAATTACATCGTACACCTGCAACTAATAGAATGTCAATTATACTTCACTTTTAAAAAATGAAATAATGTATATGTATGGACACACAGAGATGTCTAAAATGTATTGAGTGGGGGAAAAGTTGTAAAAAAAATCATGAGCCCATTTATGAGAAAAAATTCTATTTCTAGGTGAATTATAAGCTTTTTGTGTGTTTAAGAAGTCTGGAAAGAGAGACTGATAACTATTACCTCAAACAAGGAAGGAGAAATAAGGGAACTTTCACTTTATCTGTATTGTGTAAATGTTCTACAATGAGAATACATTTATGTCTTACCTATAAAATTAAAGATTAAATCATAATTTTTTAAAAACTGGCTATTTCTATACATATATTAAAAGGCGTTTATATAATAAATGACTTTTATCTCACTTGTCTCAGACTTGAGAGAATGTAGAGAGGTACACATGGCTTCTCGCTCTCCAGGGTCCTTTACTCACTGCGCCCTCTGCTGGTCTGACGCTGCTACTGATGCCAAGGGTTTAAAATGTGCAGGATGTTCCCTGACCAGCTGGGCAGCAAACTGCTTACTACCTTTTATTAGCGTGGGCACGATGAGGTCAAGTGGGGCTGTAGGCAATAGAATAGAACTCACAGAGAAGGATATTTCTTTTGCCCATCCTGAGTCCCTCTGTGCTACATCCAAAGCTTGAATCCATGTCAGTAACAGAAGGTGGTTAGTTAAGGGATAACCAAGGTACACGCGCACACACACACACACACATCCTTACTGCAACATTAATATTCTCTACTTTCTACCTTTTAAACTAGATGTAGCCTCTACGACTTCGTGTACAGTTTTCTTTGACAGTCTGGATGTCACACACCAGTCCTCTGTCATTTAACACAAAGAACTAGAAACATAACCGGTCGTCTGGCCGTCGGTTGTGGTTGGAAACAGGCACCGAGGCAGACGCGGTGAAGGGCAGAAGTGGGAGCTGGTGATGCGCGGAGAGGCCAGGCTGGTCCAGGTGCAGTGCGGCGGCTCACCCGCAAGCACAACTCAGGAGCTAAGAAGCACCTTCCTCCCTGGCCGGGACTCTCAAGGGGACATGAGTACAACTAGGAAGACTGTCGCTTCCTTTCAGCTCTGAACTTCGTTGTTTGAGGAAAAAACTGAGAAATCTACATGTCAACCTACCAGCACATTCCGGATTTTATAGAAAAAGCTTCAGTTTTCTTAGTGGAATTATCCCAGGGAGAGGCCAGGGCAACGAGCTCCTCAGGGTGGGAGGGGCATATAGACGTAATCACTGAAGAAGATGCGGTGCCTTGTTCCCAGCTTACTTTATTTAGGACCTGTGGATTCTGAAGTTGAGTCTTATTTTCTATGTGCTCTCTGACAGTTCACTTCATTCTGTTCTTTTCTTATTAATGGTTTTATTATGTTTCAGACAGTTCTCCCAGAGGGCTCAAATATGCCCACTGTATTGAATTTATCATCATAAGACCTTTCCCTTTAAAGGTTGAGACATCGTCATACTCGCCTTTCTTATTTACATGTAGAGAAGCTGAGATGCTGAAAGTTTTTAAACTACACACACACACACAGGAAATGTGACTTAAGCCCAGTGTTCCCGCCCTTCATTACAAAACTGACCCAAGACTGGATTAGAGAGTAAGAAACCTTTCTCAATTACATGTTAGGGATAAAGACAGGTAACAAACAAAAATATGCAAGTCTGAGAAGGGTCTTCTGAGCCCTGAAAAACCAGAAGTCTCTCTCTCCACAAAAAGGAGAGATTTATTACTAAGGAGAAGGAAAAAAACAAAAACAAATGTTTTCACATGAAACCAAGATCATGGCAAACAGCTGCATAATTCTGTTTTTATAACACAAAGGAAAAAGAGTTGCTCTGGGGAAGAGAACTCCTCGACTGGAAAAATCAACTAACATCTACTTGTGACAGAGGAAGGACTCAGGGGTCTTGTTCACGTTTCGGAGCTTTTTATGGCTGGCACGCTCGCGTGCTCCATTTCCTAGTCCGGCCGACCGCTCCAGGCTGGCTGTGCCCGCACTGCCTCGCACACCGGCCCCGCTCCACTGTCTGTGGTGCTGCATTGTGTTTATCGAAGAACATGCAGCTCTGTGAGCCACTGCTTACACAGATGGAGAGACACTTACAGGTGGGCATTACTGTCATTCTCTTTGAGGCAAGGAGGAGATCTTTCACAATGAGAAATCTCTGTTCTGCTTTTTTCTATAATTACGAACATCCCACAGAGTTTCTGTCGAAGGGTCTCACACAGGAATTACTCTTTCTCTCGAAGCTACAGAGCTGCCCACGAGAGAGAGAACAGGCGGAGAGCTGTGTGGCAGAATGGGGTTGTGAAGAGTCCAAATGTGGGTGCCCGCTGAAACCTGGGTTCAAGTTCAATCTCTGGCTTATGACGAAGGCTCAAAAAACACCCAGTATCAGTGTGTGTGTATCGCCTGGCCAGCGTGGCTCAGTGGTTGAGTGTCGACCATGCACCAAGAGGTTGCCAGTTTGATTCCTGGTCAGGGCACATGCCCAGGCTGTGGGCCCGACCCCCAGTGGGGGGAATGCAGGAGGCGGCCAATGGATGTTTTCTCTCATCGATGTTTCTATCTCTCTCTTCCTCTCCCTTCCTCTCTCTAAAATCAATAAAGAAAAAAAAAAGTGTGTGTGTATCTATGTATAAACACACACACCACACACCACATACTCATGAACATTTCGTGGGCACTTTATACGTCACATTGGGCACAGTACTGATCCCCTTAACATTATCTCGCTCAAGCTCTACAATTAAAATTTCAATGAAAGGTTCCTCTTCCTTTCTTTCTGTCTCAGAGAATCCCTTCGTGTGCTTTTCTCTCCCATCGGGAAATAATAACAACTTGAAATACAAGAGGTGACTTTTGTCCTCATGTGGTTTCAAACCAGTTCTATTTAAATAAAGTACATCCCTTCCCTCTCCCTTTTTATTTAAAACATTTCAAACCTACAGAAAAAATAATGCAATCATCACTTGCATACCCTTCCTCTAGTCTAGACTCATCAATTTGGAACCTTCTGCAAATACATGTATATATGTATTATTATTATTTTTGTAGACCCACTTGCAAGTCGTAGACAACACTGATTCAGTCATGTTAATTATCCCTACATATTTCAGCATGTGAGTGAGAACAAAAACACGGTCCCATAGAACACCACCATTATCACAGTCAAGGAATTTAAGCTCTACACATTATTATTTTGCACTTGATCCACATTCAAACTTGATCAACTGTCTCAATAATGCCCTTTATCGTTGTTTCTCCCCGAGTGCCCGCTCCCTCCTTTCGGTCTTTCACAACACTGACGTTTTGGAAGAGTCCAGACCAGCTGTTCTGTGTAATTCCCGCCTCAGGATTTGTCTGATTATATGCCCATTGTTCCATTCAGATGAACCTTTTGACAGGAATGCTCACAAGGGAAAGTGAAACCCATTTGCTAGCTCTCCACAGTGGGGTCAGGAAGCCTTCTGCTCTTCATAACAAGCCACGCTCCTCCCCTGCACCTGCAGGGTCCCCATGCTCCCCGGCAGAGCAGGTCCCCCACGCCCCAGGAGCCGTTAGAGAAGACAGGCAATGCTAATCGTTCCTCTTTGGAGCTGCAAACCCTGAGGCTCGGAGAAGATAAATGAAATAGTCTAAGTCTCCCCGAGCCAGATCTCAAACCCACACCACTTCCTGTGCACATCTGGCGCAGGCATAGTAACCACCTCCTTGGTGTCGTCTCAGCTGCGTGTGTGGCTGGTGGAGCGTTAGCCGCAGCCACCTTGGTGCGCCTGCAGGTGGGAAGGACCAACGTCTTAATGGCATCGTTTGTGTGTTTTCAATGTTGCCAGAAAATCAAAAGGAAACAAACACCTATAGAAACAAACTTTTATCACAGCTAAAATCAGAAGACAGGCTGAGGAGGTAACGAAGCCAGCGGAAGTTCGGCAGCGCTGGTATTGGATCCCTTTCTGGGCCACAGGCAGACGCAGCTGGCAACGCGACTAACCGAACACTGGGGCTCGTGGGCAACGACACTAGTTAATGACACAGAAGGAATGCTACAGTTAGGACTCACCAGGCGGCAGCCACGACTGTGACACCGAGTCAGGTGAGAATTATCAACGGATGTTAAAATGAGCAAGATAAGTTTGATAAAGAACAGGATAAGGCCCTGGCCGATTTGGCTCAGCGGTTGGACAGTCGGCCTGAGGACCGTTGAGTCGTGGGTTCGATTCCGGTCGAGGGCACGTACCTCAATTGCGGGTTGTCCCCTGCCCTGGTTGGGGTAGTGCGGGGGGCACCCCTCCATGTGTCTCTCTCATGTCGATGTTTCTCTCTCTCTCTCTCTCCCTCCCTCCCTTCCTTCCTTCCACTCTATGTGAAAATAAGTGAAAAAAGATCCTCGGGTGAGGATAAAAAAAAAAAAAGAACAGGATGAGTACACAGACTCTAAGTAACACTACTTCCCGGTTATGTCTCAGTGAAGAGAAAAAAATCTTTATATTTATAAATAAAGCACATACATGTAAACAAATAAAGAGTTATATAGATAAATCTGTAAATTTATCTTTACAGTGAAGAAACCTGGCAAACGGCTTGCCCAGGTGATCAAAGTCAACATCGTTGACAATGAGACAAAGTGACATTGAGTGCCTCCAATATGATGCACGAAGGAGAATACGACACCGTTTCTGTGGAATTCTTGCCAACATGCACCACAATCACGACGAAACAACAATCCAAGATGAAGAACAGCCTGCAGGGTAGTTGGCCCCCACGCTTCAGAGCTGCTCTACTCCCTCAGCACCCTGACCTCTTTCCTTCCTTCCTCACCATATTCCTAACTGGGATGCACTTGTAAAAAGAGATTTTGCCCAGGCAGTGTGGCTCAGTGGTTGAGCATCACCCCATGCACCAGGAGGTTGTGGGCCAAATCCCCAGTAGGGGGCATGCAGGAGGCGGCCAATTGATGTCCTCTCTCATTGATGTTTCTGTCTCTCTCTCCCTCTCCCTTTCTCTCTCTCTAAAAACCAATAAAGAAAAAAAAATTAAGAGAAGCTGTTGGACATAGACAAGTAAAAACCAGAGATGACCTTTGACCAATTAACTACTTGTCAGTAGAGGTGTCACCAGGCTGTATTAAAGAACACACAATACGATATACAGGTGATGGATTACAGAATTGTACCCCTGAAACCTACATAATTTTATTAACCAATGTCACCCCCATATATTCAATAAAAATTTAAAAATAAAATTTAAAAGATGTTGAACCCAACCAGGTGATAACTATAATCATTTAACCTGAAAAAATATACTTGCTTGGAACATTATCAACTTATTTCATTGGGCGTATGTATTATACTTAAACTTTCAGTTCCTAAAAGCATGTGTTACAATTTTCCTTACATTCCCCCCTAATACCAATTACAGTACTTTGCACATAAATATCAAAACAACGAATTAATAATATGCCAAAAAATGTAATCAGCTTATCCTGGAAAAAAAGTGCAGTCTTAAACTTATCTCAGTATTTCTATTACACTAACTGATCAATGTCTTCTGATATTCCTTGAATTAAATATAGCATCTAACCCTGGCCGGTCTGGCTCAGTGGTTACAGCGTCAGCCCTCGAACCAAAGAGTCGCAGGTTCGATTCTGGTCAAGGGCACGTACCTCAGTTGCGGTTTGTCCCCGGCCCTGGTCAGGTCATGTGGGAGGCAACCGTACGATGTGTCCCTCTCACATTAATGTTGCTCTCTTTTTCCTTCTCTCTCCCTCCCTCCCAGTCTATCTAAAAATAAATAGAAAAATCTCCTCGGGTGAGGATTGAAAAAAAAAAAAGAAATACACACACACACACACACGTGTGTATATATATGTGTATATATATATATATATATATATACATGTATATATGTATGGCATCTAAAAATGTCATGTGACTGCATATGAAATGCAAAGCTCTTATAAACTAGCAGCAGTAAAATCCCATTCTGATGAAACAGACCTTAAAAGAAAACATTTAAATTTCATTTCATGGGCTATCAATGGTGAAGCTATTATTTCAAGTTTCCTAGGAAGTATATAATTTTGGTTAATTCTGTTATTAGCACCTGACTCAACTCTTTCTCATTTTCAACTCTGTACTTCCTTTTGACCTAAGGAGCTAATTACTTTCCTTCTTTGTCATTTTATCAATGTGGTCTGTCACCCCACTCCCCACCTCCATTCCCCTAAACATGCAACTTTTATAAATAAAAATCAGTCTATATTAGAATATACATAAACATAGCTAAGTTGCAAAAAAAAAGAATGCATTTGATATAGAAACCAATGCCTGTGTGCATTGAACATGATGAAACCATCTTTTATACAGAAATTTGCATATATTAATAGATTCTGATGTAACTTCTTCATCAAAGAATTGCTATGTTACAATCTATTGCTACAAAGAAATGGTTTCAACCTAGAGGATTAGACATTTTATTTCTATAATTGGAGTCTACCTGTAGTTCAAGAGCAGTAATCTTGGAAGTCATCAATTCCCACTCAAATGGAAAATACAGTCATTTTATAAATTACAGGCATACTAGACATGAAGCTCAAATAACATCTATAGAACTGTTATTTTAAGGAGTTCGGAGTCAAAGCCATTTCTCTTGGATTAGCACCTCGGTCAGTAAAAATAAACAACGCTCAAAGTAAGACAATACTTGTACTCATTGTGACAAGCGCACATCTTCGCAGTACATACCGACAGTGTGAATGGGTTTCCTGTAGGGCACCAGGCCGAAGTTGTACTGGAAAACCCCTCTGGCGTGGAACAGCGGCAGAGCAAACCCCATGACCTTCTGTAGTTTATCCTGCACAGTTCGAAGCAACGAGCCTTCAGGGTTGCTCACTTGTTTAAATAGTTCGTTTTCACCGAAAGAAAACACTGGAACCAAATAAGCACTGCAAATAACAAAAAGAAAGGGAGAAAGAATAAGAAATTTCAATGAAAAGGATTTAAAAACATTATTCTGTTCAACTGACTTTGCAACAGATTTCTTTCTTTCTTTTTTTAATGTTTTCATTGATTTTTTTTAGAGAAAAAGGAAGGAAGAGAGAGAGAGAAACATCAATGTGAGAGAGATACATGGATCGGCTTCCTCCTGCACGCCCCCTACTGGAGATCGAGCCCAAAACCCAGGCATGTGCCCTGACCAGGAATTGAACTGGGACCTCTCAGTCCATGGGATGACACTCAATCCACTAAACCACACTGGTCGGGCAGTACAACAGATTTCTAACAATTCTTTATGTCCCCAAGCCTCCCTATACTATTAACTACTATACTACCAACTCCATGCTCCACACGCAGAGACTGACTTACACTTGAAATTCTTCTCCTCTATTGTTTTGGCCATGGTTCCTTTGTCCATTTGGCTGGACATCTTGTATGTTTTTTGTGTCTTTGCTTTTAAAGAAAGTCTGGTTGCTGGCTGCCATGGCACTAGGCTGCCTTGGTGGGAAGGTCAATGAGGAGGAGGACTGTCCTTAAGGGCTACCAAAACCACTTTACTTCTCTGTGCTCGTTTCATGATGTCTTAGCTTCCCGGACCCAGTCATCGGAAATGAAAAGCCACTTACCCATGGGTCAAAGCAATTTTCACAAATCCTTTCCGCTGGCGGATGAACAGTGTGAAACTCCCGGGATGGGCATCCAGTGACTCCTCCGCACCCCCCAGGACAATGATGGAGATGTTCCCACCTCCCTCTTTGCTCAGCACGTGGGACACGCTTTTCTTGGAAACTGACACTGGCCCTTGGTGAAGAAAACAAGAAATGTAACTACTTGCTCTCTCTTAAAAATTAAAACATTTTCATCACAAAATTCTGTGGCATCAGTGAACATCTAACAAGATTTCCTACGCTGCTTAGATTTGGAGTGCTCTGTCTACCTTGACAGCTCAAAGACCCCTCAAATTCCAGGTTCCCAAACCCACTGAATTAAATTCTTGATCAGAGTTGTTCTTGTCCAACATTCCCTATCATGCTGAATGGCTCCACCACCTATCCCGTCACTCAGGTCAGGAGCCAAGTCCCATGTGTAATCCCCTCTTCTCAGCCCCATGCTGACTCATCCCTCCTCCATTCAAAAGCATTTACTGAGCACAGGCACAGGCGAGACCCCCTGCTAGGTGCTGATGACGATATCACCAGATGCTGCCTTTATGAGGCTGAATCAATCACTAAGTCTTGTTGAATCCATCAACTACTTTTTATATTAATCCCCTATGGGTTTCCACGGCCACCATCTCTGTGCCAGCTGAGCCCTCAGCACCTGTCCCTGATCATGGCAACAAGCCCTTCCATCACCACAGTCCACGGGCTCACTGCCCTCCGATGTATCTCCTGTCTGGATGATCTTTCTAACATGTAAAATCCAGTCAGGTGGCTCTTTTACTCAAAATCCCTCAAATGTTCCCATGACGTACCTACAAGATAAAATCTAAAGTCCGCTGCACGGTGTCTAAGCCGGTTGTGATCTGATCTCCACTACCTGCCCAGCCTTAACGCAGAGGAGAGGGGACAGGAGCCTTGAAACACAATGTGAGCTCCGGCTGACACCTGCTGGGAACCTATTCGCCAAAATGAGTCAAGAGGAAGCATTTGGAAGCAGGACTTCCAATGGCCTAGAGCCACAGAAATCTCTTGAGTAAGAGCCAAACAGATGCCTGACAGCAAAGGATCTCTAAAACCCTACTGGTTATTTACTACTGGAGGTCTGGTGCACGTGTCTGCCTGTCTTTCCCACCCAGAGCCACGGCTACAGAGGCGGGCACAGAGCAGATGGACAGCCTCGGACCAGGGCCTGTTCTGAGAACCAGGTTCTGGGAGGGAGTGAGAACTCTCTAAATTCAGAGGCAAGATGAGCCTGAACCTCACTGGCTACAAGTCTGGATATTGTAATTTTGTTGTTTTTTCTTTTTAAAAAATGTGTATTGAATTTATTGAGGTTACATTGGTTAACGAAATCCTATGTTTCAAGTGTACAATTCTATGATACATCATCTGTATATTGTATTGTGTGTTCACACCCAAAGTCAAGTCTCTTTCCGTCACCATTTATCCCTCCTTTACCCTCCACCCCCTTTCTCTCTGATAATCACCATACTGTTGTCTATATTTTTGTTTTTACTTAATCCCTTCACTTTATTTTTTTATGTTTTTTTCCTTTATTGATTTGAGAGAGAGAGAGAGAGAGAGACATTGATGAGACAGAACATCGACTGGCCGCCTCCTGCATGCCCCTCACTGGGGATCAGGCCCACAGCCTGGGCATGTGCCCTGACCGGGAATCGAACTGGCGACCTCTTGGTGCGTGGGTCGATGCTCAACCACTGAGCCACACTGGCCAGGCAGTCCCTTCACCTTTTTTTTTACCCCCCTGCCCCTATTCTCTGTATCTAGGAGTCTGTTTCTATTTTGTTCATTAGATTCCACATATAAATGAAATCATATGGTGCTGGTCTTTCTCTGACGTGCTGATTTCACTCAGCATAATAATGCCCAGGCCCATCCATGCTGTTGAAAAGATAAGATTTCCTTCTTTTTTACAGGCAAGTAGTATTCCATTGCGTAAGTGTACCATTTATTTAATTTGTAGGACCTCTTAGGTTACAGCAAAGGGAAAGATCTCCTGGGGTCCTAAGCCAGTGAGAGCAGACAGGTTTCACCTCAAATGCCGACTCTACCGAACAGCAGTGGCTGTGGGGGCTCTACATGGAGAAAGACGGTAAGGCTGAGTATTTGTATCTGACGCGCAATGGAGAGGGTGTACCTGCATCTCCTGTGCCACGAGTTTGCCACACCTGCTCTCAGTTACGCTATTCAAACTCACCGATGGCTCTACTTTGAATCGGCGATTATATACTGTAAATATATGTCTGTGCTGTTTCGAAAATTTTTTTGAAAGTTTCCCTTGAATTTTCTTTTTTAAAACTCTAATTTGTTTGCTAGTTTACTTTGTTCATTAGATTCCACATAGGAGTGCAATCAGTGTACTTGTCTTTCTCTGACTGGCTTATTTCACTTAGCATAATGCTCTCCAGGCCCATCCATGCTGTCGCAAAGGGAAGTTAACAAACAAAATAGAAAGAGACTCACAGAGAACAGACTGACAGCTGTCAGAGGGGAAGGAGGAGGTGGGTGTGTGTGTGTGTGTGTGAAAAGGGTAAAGAGATTAAGGAAAAAAAACAACAACTCACAAACACAGACAACAGTATGGTGATTACCAGAGGGAATGGGGTGGGGGAGGTAGAAGAAGATAAAGGGGGACAAATGGTGATGGAAGGAGACTTGACTTGGGGTGATGAACACATAATACAATATACAGATGGTGTATTATAGAATTGTACCCCTGAAACCTGTATAATTTTATTAACCAATGGCACCCAATACAGTCAATATAAGAGAAAACAATCTCTAACCCAACGTTTGCTAAACAAGGAAAAGGGTATTTTTCCTCTGCAGTAGTTTGGGGGTGTAGAGCACCCTCTAGAGGCCACGTGCAGTGGCAGCCTTGACTGGACAGTGAGACCCAGTCATTTGGGAGAAAGTCCATAGAACCAAAAATCCAGCCATGGATCCTGGTCCTTTAGTACTTGGGGATTCCTACCAGGTATTTATGACAACGGAGACTTGATGGATTACTAGGAAGTAATGAAAACCTGGAAGACCATGAAATATTCTATCTCTTAATATGCCATTTATTGATCCTGAAATTGGAATTTTTTCAAAAAAGAGACTATCCACCTTCCTTCATATCCAAGAAATGCAAAGACAATAACGATAAACCTATACAATGGTCATAAACAGAAAGTGCTCTCTCAGTTACTGTAGTTTACGGTTAGTGAGTAATTTGGTCCAATTGGAAAAGCGAACAAATTGAGCCTCTTAAGTTGAGGTGAAGGCAGGGGACACAAGCCAACCCTTCTGCACACACTCATATCGAATCCGTATGGCATTTCAGCTAAAACTGTCCTCAGAGCTGGCAGAATTACAACTTCATGCAACAGAGCCTTCCACTAGTTCACAGTAGCGAAGTACAACAAACTCTTATTTCTGATCCGTTATATTTAATCTGGGAAGGAAAAGATAGCAGATTATGTTTATTTCTTTTATGTTTCGTTTACATACTGTCATTACTTCAAGACATATCGGAGGACATTATTCATCTCTGATAGTCACAAAGGTATATACATGGCACCTTTCTGAAGGTGCAATTTACCACTTATTGGATTCTCTCTACCACATCCGAATACACAAAATGCACTCACCAATTTATTTTTTCATTTAACTCACGTCTATTGAACATCCCTGTATTCCAGGCAGTATGCTAAACACGAGGGTGGCACAGGACAAAGGACAGTCTGCACTAATCGCCAAGTGGGGGAGGCAAGAAACACACAAAGAACATCCAAAGCGCCAAATCAGGGTAAAGACCCTAGGAAATTTCAACCCCCACTGGGTTTGAGGGGGGCCGTTCTGTGTGGTCCTGTTTCCCTAGACCAAGGCAGAAACAGCAATCTGCCTTCACTCACCACTGCTCATCAGGTATTCTCGGAAGAGAGGACACCGGAACCAAATGGGAAGCACGTGGAGATACGCAGTGAAGCCGGAAAACAGCTTCTTGAAGTCCGAATAATTTGTACAAAAATTTCCAAAGGCTCCAGCCACCAGCACTCCATGGGGGTGAAACCCAAATATGTAGTTGTGACTTGGATCCAAATCCTCAGTTTTGATGAGCTACAACACATGTATATCAAAAAAATTTTTTTAAATATTCCCTGATTACTTTCCAGGAAGAAACAAAATCACTCATGATTAGTTCTTATGTCAAGGGGAAATAAATACATAATAATAACAATTTTAAAAAGAGGAAATAGACAATATGACTTGCTTTCATTTACTGAGTTAAAGCTGTTCCCCCAATTTTTTTTTTAAATGTGTTTTTATTGATTTAGAAAGAGAGGGGAAGGGAGAGAGAAACATCGATGGGAGAGAGAAACATCGATCGGCTGCCTCCTGCATGCCCCGTTCTGGGGATCGAGCCTGCAACCCAGGCATGTACCCCAACCAAGAATCAAACCGGGACCTCTCAGTCCATGGATGACAGTCCACCGAGCCACACCAGCAGGGCGCTCCCCAAATTTTTAACTATTTCCTGAACCCAGAGCCCCTCACAATAGCCTTCAAAATTTTGTCTCAGCTCACAGTCCATTTAGTAATTTGTGCTAACTTGTAGGCTTTCTCACTCTAAAAGGGGAAGAGCTTGAAATATATGTAATAAAAATGTTTTATTCTTCTCCCAGCTCAAAATCGTACTATGTAAAACAAGTCTACTCACATGAATTGGAAAATAGTCCTTAAAGTACTTCCAAACGGTCCAGCTTCTGACCCAGTTGGACCTCCTGCCTCCTTGCTCTGGGGTGCGCCAGTCAAAGTAGAGCCACGTCAAGTAAGGGATGTATAGGAACCAGTAGTTGTACACGATCAGTAGCAAGAGGACTCCAATGCACACCTCCGCTGCAAGAAAGGGAAGACCTCAGGAGTCAGGGTCCATCAGTACCTGCTCACTACTATCTAATCACTGGCCCAGCAAGAGGGATTTAATACATACAAAGGTTGTTAAACTGAGCCTCAGTTCAAGTGTGTAATAAAACAAGACAGCGATGACATAGTATTACTTGACATTTATTGGATGTTTACTATATACCAAATATTGTATTGTGTATTCTGCCAAAATATTTCCATTTAATCCTCATATCCCCACAGTATCAATGAAGTAGCCACAGTATTCTTAATGTCCTTTTTATAGAAGAGACAGCGGAGGCTTAGAGAGGGTCAAATTGCACAAACCACATAGAACGTAAGTGGTTGATCTGCCTACATTCAAAGTTCACGCTACCTCCCTGACATGAGATATGGGGGGGAGGGGGTGATGATCATCACTGACAGGAGGGATGCAGAGGACTTCCTACAACAGGTGTTCACCTTGACTGAGCAGCCATTATTCATGCGCCCACACAGGGGCACATGCTAGTGACAAATTTCATTTTCAGGAACTATTGCCAGAGAGAAATAGCATAGGAGGGGCGCTTTGTGTCTTAGCTCCTCGATCACTACTTGCAACATTTCACAATGACAGAGCAAAATCCAAATTATTCATGCACTTAATGAGGCAAATGCTTGACCTGGGTAGTAGTGACAAGAACGCATGCCTTAAAGTAATACATTACGCTAAGCTAGAGACTTCCTTCTTATGTCTGTACTACATAGTACACTAAAATGTATTTCTAAATGGAGAAAGACATCAACGAGAGGAGAGGGAGCATGAAGACATAAAGCCTGGCACATAGAGGGTGCTCAGTAAATGCCAGCTATTGCTAGTACTCTAAGGAGTACCACTGCCTCTTCCTCTGCTATGATGTGCCCAGGCGCTCACTCAGCGCTGACTTCAGTGCCTTAAACTCCTATCCACTCTCTCGCAACCTGGTTACAAAGAGTTTTGTTTCCACACGACCCATCACAGTGTCTGAGTTACAGGACCTTGACCTATTGTTTTACAGATATAGATTTTTTCCCCAAATCAGAACATGTACGTGTGTGTGTGTGTGTGTGTGTGTATATACACACACACATATATATACATATATATATTTTTTTTCTGGGAATATATAAATCAATACATTTCCCGGTATGGAGTGAACTCAAACATAATTGAGCCCCATCAGAGGACTGATTTGCTCTCTCCAGGGCGGGTTAAAGGTAAACGCAGTAAGGAGGCATGTGCCCTGCACCCTCTGCGGGTTGTTGTGTTGCATTCCTGAACTGCCAGCAAAGTTTCCATGAGTCCAGAAACAAGGCCAAAAGAGTGTCCTTGGCGCTGACACCCGACCAGGATCATTCTATTTCAATTCACCTACTTCCCTCTCTCCAGACCTGACTGCTGACAACTTACCACCACTGGTTAATTCTGTTTATTTTACAAAAATGTGCAAAAAATGTACAAGAAACTTAGGCAGTTCTCATTATGTTGTACTCCAGGCGAGAGCAGGCGAGCTAAGAGCAGGGAGGGAGAGAAGAGAGACTGAGGAGTGAGCATCTCCCACAGGGAATCTCGCTTACTCCTTTCCGCAGCCCTGGAGGTACATATTCCAGTCCCATTGTGCTGCTGTGTCCAGAGGACTTGTTCCTGGACCTGCCTCATCCCTAAACCCATGCACTAGTTTTACACACAAAAAACCATCCCCAGTTAATGCAACAACACCATAAACTTATAAGTATTAAATACATGTGCATAAGTAGGTCCATAAGCATAAAGACTCAGGCAAATGAGATTTTTTTTTTACTATAACAATAGAGAAACTGAGCCCAGAAGCAAATTATTTTTTTTTTTTATCCTCACCCGAGGACATTTTTCGATATTTTGTTCAGATAGAGTGGGAGGGAGAGAGAGGAAGAGAGAGAGAAACATCGACGTGAAAGGGACACATCGAGAGGCCGCCACCCGCACGACCTGACCAGGGCCGGGGACAAACTGCAGCCGAAGTACATGCCCTTAGCGGGAACCGAACCCGGGTCTCTGTAGACCGCAGGCCAACCCTCTAACCGCTGAGCCAAACCTGCCAGGGCAGCCCAGAAGCAAATTTATTTCATTTCAACCACAGAGTCGAGAGAGGAGATCCAGCAATAAAGTTCCCCAGCTACTAATTTCAGAGTTCCGCTCACCCAACTACACGTGTCCTCTACTTGAATACACATTGCATATCTCTTTAACATTCATCATAGGTTTTGCATGTATAATGTTAAGATATGGATCTAAATTGGACTCTTTGTGTTGGAATCTGCCTTCGACTGAATGCCTGACGCGAGGCATGTAGCCTCGATTCCTTTACCTGTGAAACAGGCTAATAACAGAGCCTCTCAAAGGCTGTGGAGGGACCAAGCACAGAGGTGCTGCAGTGCCGGGCACAGAGCAAGCCTTTGACAAGTGGGGGCCACTGTTACAGTAATCTTTTTACTATTACACATTTGGGGAAGGTAAAAGTAGAAACGGACAAAATGTTACCCATATTCTGGTCACCCAACAAAAATTAGTTAAAAATTTCCTTGTATGCACCTCTATGTTCATTGCAGCATTATTCACAGTGGCCAAGACATGGAAGCAGACTAAGTGTCCTTCGATGGATGATAGCATAAAGAAGGAATGGTACATGCATGCAATGGAATACTACTCAGCCATAAGAAAAGATAAAATACTGTCATTTGCGACAACGTGGCTGGATCCTGAGAATAACATGCTAAGCGAAGTAAGTCAGGTGCAAAAGGACAAGAACCATACGATTTCACTCATATGTGGCATATAAAACAGACAGCAACAAATGAACAAACAAAACAAAACAACAACAACACAAACTCATACACACGAACAACAGAATGGTGGTTGCCAGAGGGAAAGAGGGAGGTAAAAGAGGGTAAAGGGGGTCAAATATATGATGACAGAAAGAGACTTTGGCTGGTGAGTACACAATGCAATATACAGATGATGTACTATAGAACTGCACACTTGGAACTTAGATAATCTTATTAACCAACATCACCTCAATAAATTTAATACAATAAAAATGAAAAAACTTTCCCTGTGGTCTTTTTTCCCTAGGAACAGGTTATATTTCTTTAACATGACTGATCATATATATTTTTCATTCTGTATTTTATCACTTACACTGATCTTACATTAGCTGTTTGGTATTGTGAATGTGGTAATATAACTTTCATAAATGTTATTTTTAATAACGTTTATCAGTGCTAAATCAACCATTCTTTCCTTTTTGAACTTTTGGGCTTCTCACAAATTTTCTCCATAAACTTACATTTGTGTAAAGTTTCCCTAGTTTTTTATCTACTTCCACAGGACAGTAAGTCAAATACTGGAGCACTAAGCAGAAACATCTCTGCCACTTGATACACATTAATATCTAAAGGAGTTGTTCTAATTTAAACTCCCATTCCACGCATCGTATACATTCTTTTAAAGCTCCAATCATAAACAGCACCAAAAAAGTTGTTTTAATCCCTTGATCCTACATTGGATCGAAAGTAGAAAACGCTACAGAAACTAGGTGAAGGGATCACCTCTATGTTCTATTTTTATCTCATTAAGCAATCCAAGGTAACATGATTCTTCTACATTGGAGGTCAAAGAGACAAGAAAGATACAAAGTCTATTCCAATATATTGTACAGCTTTCAAAGCCAAGGTTGATACCTGCTAAAAGGGTCTGGATTCGTAAACCAAGTTACGTCGAAGGCCTGAATTTCAGCTGCCTTGGCTTAGGTGCATCCTGGATGAAAACCACAGGTCAACTTTCTCAACACTGTCGAGGAACCAGCTTCCCACTGTTTTTTGTTTTTTTTTTTTTGAGGTGAAATGCATATAACATCATTCCAAAGTAAAACCCTGCACGCATTAAGCAGTTATTCCATTAATTATTGATTAATGCAACCAATAATCTGCATTCTGTGCCTATGGATTTACCTACCCTAGATATTTCATATAGACTGAAGGATCTGATATGTAATCTTTTCTAGACATCATTTTTTAAAATTTATTTTAGTGGGGGGAGAGAGAGAGAGAGAAACATTGATATAAGAAACATCGATCAGCCACCTCCTGTACACATCCTGACCACATGCAACCTGAGTATGTGCCCTGACTGGGAATTGAACCTGCCACCTTTTGGTATATAAGACGACACTCCAACCAACTGAGCCACACTGGCCAAGGCTAGACATCAAGTTTTTGAGGTTCACCATGTGGTAGCATGTCCCAGTACTTCATTCCTTTTTATGGCTGAATAATGTTCCCATGTATGGATATATCCATCCATCCATCTGTGGGTGCACATTTGGGTTGTTTCCACCTGTTGGCTACTGTGACTAGGGCCACCATGCCCCACTCACTTTAACAGTGAAGAGTCAGAAGCAAATAAAGCTCGCGCAAGCGTGTGCGTCGCCGTTACAGTTAACAGCAACCGTCCAGTCACAACATGACCTGTGCCTCTTGATGTGCTCTAACGGAATACATACCTCCTCACCTTCCTGCTCTTCTTACCCAAAATGTTAACCCCAGACTAGTCACGGGAGCATAATTAGTCCACTCCAGTCTGGGGGACATGCTACAAGATAATTAGCTGGGGCTGTCTTTTTTATTTTTTTATTTTTCTAATCTTTATAAAAGATTGAAGAACAAATAAAAGGTATAGAAACTGTTCACTTTAAAGGAAAATGTGAAGATAATTAGGGAACTGAATATAAACCACATATTTAAACAAATTATTTTTTTTCTTTATTGATTTTAGAGAGAGAGGAAGGGAGAGGGAGAGAGAGAGATAGAAACACTGATGAGAGAACATTGATTGGCTGCCTCCTGCATGTCCCCCACACTGGGGATCGGGCCCACAACCTGGGCCTGTGCCCTGGATTGGAATGGAACCAGCAACCTCTTGGTGCATGGGTCGATGCTCAACCACTGAGCACACCACCCAGGCTAAACCACATATTAAATAAGATTATTGTACCTATGATCAACTTCTTGAAGATGATAATGGGATTGTGATTCTGTACAAAATCCTTCTTTTCAGGAGACATACTCTAAGGTATTTAGGGATGAAGAGCAGTGACGTCTACAACTTAATTTCTTATTTTCAAATGGTTCAACAGCAACAATAACAGCAAAGTATGTACGTGTGTATGTGTGTGTGCGTGCGTGCACACACAGAGAGAAAGCAAATGTGGCAAAATGCTAAGAGGTGGTGAATCTAAGTAAAAACAATCTTTGCTGAACTATTTTTCAATAATTCTATAAGTTGGGAAATATCTAAAATTAAAAGGTGGGGCAAATTAGGACTCGCACCTAGAACTGATGAGAAGCACAGCAGGTAGGCACGGCTGCCCGGCTGGGAAAGAGGAGGAACCTCAAAGGGACCGACATGTGCAGAAAGTCTTGACTTGTCAATTGTTACAAGTAGATGTAACAATTGATCCAGTATTTAGGTATTCCCAGCTTTATAGAAAAGAAGTACTCTAGCAAAATCAGGAATGTATGCTTCCTTTTTTACCCCCATGAACTAATGACTTTGGCAAGGAGGGTGGCCAGGTCTACGGCCTTTGAGAGATGGCAGGTCCTCCAGTGCTTATGTGGACCCTTCCCATCACCCTGAAATAATGATCTTCCTCTGCTGTGTCCACCCCTCTGACTCCAATGCACTCTCCTGGATACTCACGACCAGTGAAATTGTGCTGAACAAGGCACTGTACGGTGTCTGACCCATGACAAATGCTCCAGGGGTGTTAGCAGAATTCGAAAAGTAAATGAATCCTAATAGCACACTTTGCCTTCAGGCACTTCTCCAGCCAAAGACCTGATGTGTATAAACCGATACATCCTTTTGAGTTCTTACAGGTAGAGATCGAGTCTCTACTGGTTTTGCAAAATTTAAGATGGTACATTTTAATATGAAAAAATATGGAAAATAGTTTTATGAAAAAATAATTGGTCAGTGAAACTAATAAAATAACACAGAGAAAGCCTTCAGAACAATGACGGCACAGAGGGAACTCTCAATAAATGTTAGTTACCAGCCCTGGCCAGTTTGGTTCAGCGGTTAGAGCGTCGGCCTCCGGTTCTGAGAGACCCGGGTTCGGTTCCCGCTAAGGGCGCGTACCTCGGTTGCAGTTTGTTCCCGGCCCTGTCGGTTGTGCGGGTGGCAGCCACTCGATGTGTTCCTTTCACATCGATGTTTCTCTCTCTCTCTGTTCCTCTCTCTCATTCCCACTCTACCTGAACAAAAAAATGGAAAAATGTCCTTGGGTGAGGATAAAAAAAAAAAAGTTAGTTACCAGCTACCATTGAATGCTTCAGACCTTCAAAAATACCAATTTCATGCCCTGCCAGTGTGGCTCAGTGATTGAGCACTGACCCATGCACCAAGAAGCCACTGGTTCAATTCCTGGTAAGGGCACATGCCCAGGTTGTGGGCCAAATCCCTATTGGGGGCATGCAGGAGGCGGCCAACTGATGTTCTCTCTCATCGATGTTTCTATCTTTCTCTTCTTCTCCCTTTCTCTCTCTCTAAAATCAATAAAGAAAAACAAAACAAAACATCAATTTCATACGGTTCAACCCAATGTGATTTGATTTGTTTTCCAGGGCACATATTATTTTGATTAAAATAAAACTTTAAAAATAGGTATACACGAGGAAAGGAATATACAAAAAAATTAACAATAGTTATCTCTGGATGGGAATATGAAATTTTTTCTCATCTCTTCTAAAAGCTCTTCTACATTTTCCAACTGTTTAAATAACTAGCATAAATTATAACCAAAAATTCATTTTTAAAAAAGAAATAAAATGGCTCCACTAAAAGGGGGCAGACTAAACAAAACTTTGCAGGACAAATCTACTTTTATAAGAATATTCTCATCTTTAACACAATTCAATTAAATTTCCATGAGCAAACTGCAGCAGAAAAAGAAACATTGTGAAAACTATTGAAAGTTTATTTACTTGCATTAGTGATTAACATTAAGAAATAACTTTCCCTGGCCAGTTTGTCTCAGTGGTTAGAGCGTCGGCCTGAGGACAGAGACCCGGGTTCAGTTCCCACTAAGGGCATGTACCTCAGTTGCAGTTTGTCCCCAGTGCCATTTGGGGTTGTGTAGGTGGCAATCAGTTGATGTGTGTCTCTCACATCGATGTTTCTCTCTCTCTCTTCCTCCCTCCCTCCTTCCCGCTCTATCTGAAGATAGATGCAAAAATGTCCTCAGGTAAGAAAAAAAAAAAAGAAAGAAAGAAAAAAAGAAAGGAAGGAAGGAAGGAAGGAAGAAAGAAGCCCAGCTAGTGTGGCTCAGTGGATTGAGAGTCATCCCAGGGACTGAGAGGTCCTGGTTCAATTTCCCATCAGGGCACATGCCCTAGTTTCAGGCTCAATCCCCAGAAGGGGGTGTGCAGGAGGCAGCTGATCGATGTTTCTCTCTCACATCGATGTTTCTCTCTCTCTCTCTCCCTTCCTCTCTTTCTAAAAAAATCAATAAAACATATTTTTTAAAAAAGAAATAGATAATTTAAAATACTTAAATTATATGTATATTCTTCCCATTTGTATCCAAGAAGATTTCAATTTTCCCCTATGAAAATGGTTTCTACACTTCTAGGATATAATGATCTATGCATGGAGAGAGAAAATGGAATTCAGAGGCAAGCAAAATCCTCAGCCCATCACATCCTCTGCCTTCTTATTCCTGAGGCACTATATTCCAAGACACCGAGCCATCTGCCGAATATAAGAATGTAAGTGTGAAAAGAGGGCTCTGTCGTGAGCAGCACATGCAGGGCAGCTTGACCGTTCTACGTGCAGAATCGACATCAAGAGATTTCGGAAGCATACTTTTTGGTACTTGGACAGTTGGTGATCGTTGGTCCTGGTGCCCACCGAAAAAAACGAATATAAGTGCAACAGTCTTCTGATTTTTAAAATTCCTGGATTAAAAGGCTGAAGTATACATCTAAGACCCCTTCAGACACTTGCAGCCCACTCTTCTTCATACGTGGGTCCGTTTCACACTGCTTTTCAAAAGTACTGCCTATAGGGAATCACATTTTTCTTGTTTAAAAGCAAATTTACTTATTTATTTATTTATTTTATCCTCACCCGAGGACATTTTTCCATTTTTTGTTCAGGTAGAGTGGGAGGGAGAGAGAAGAACAGAGAGAGAGAGAGAAACATCGACGTGAAAGGGACACATCGAGTGGCTGCCACCCGCACGACCAACCGGGGCCGGGGACAAACTGCAACCGAGGTATATGCCCTTAGCGGAAACCGAACCCGGGTCTCTCCGGACCGCAGGCCGACGCTCTAACCGCTGAGCCAAACCGGCCAGGGCGAAAAGCAAATTTATAATTGGACCTACTTCTTTGCCTACTTCTTATTTGGAGGCAAATAAATTATAACGAGGACTCGGCTGAAACCAGTCCCATGTGCCTAATACATCCGAAGGGTTTACAAGCCTAAGGTCAAAATTAGCACAAATATTTTGTTTAGCTACAAACTGAAAATCACGGAGAGAGACCATAAGAAATGAGGCACAGTCGTATTTTTGAAAGTCCAAGAATGTGGTATAAATCACTCGAGTGAATGTTAAAATGAGCTCCCTCCAAATGTCCAGGTTCAAGGAGTCTAAGGAGACAGAACCGAACACGGCGTGTGAACTGCTGAAACGTGAGTCGGGTCTGTGCACGGATCCGGTCCCATCGCTGCCACTCTCCCGATCCGGACAGCTGCTCTGCGGTTGTCTAAGAGGAGGCCCTTGGTTTTAGGACCAAAGCACTTAGGGTACAGAGAAACCATGCCTGCAACTCACTCTTGGAGAGTTCAAAAACTAATCATTGTGGTGTGCACGCAGACAGAAAGATAAAGGAGACGAGGGGTTCACATCCGGGGAATTTGTTGAAAACAATATGGGAATTTTGGGTGTTCTTCCAAAATTTTTATTTTCTATAATTATTATTATTGAAATTATTTCAACATAAAATGTTTTTAAAAGTGTAATGGCCCTCCCTGAGGCCTACAGAATCCAAATCTCTGGAAAATTTGCATTTAAAATTTAAAAAAATTTTTTATGCTCACCCGAGGACATTTTTGCATTCATCTTTAGATAGAGCAAGTGGGGGGGGGGGGACATCGACATGAGAGAGACACATCAACTGGCTGCCACCCACATGACCCCAACCAGGGCCAGGGACAAACTACAACTGAAGTATATGCCCTTAGCGGGAACCGAACCTGGGACTCTCTGAACCACAGGGCTATGCTCTAACCTCTGAGCCAAACCGGCCAGGGTGAGAATTTGCATTTTTAACAAAAATCCCCAGGTGATTTTTAAATATGCTCAAAAGTTTTAAAAATTCTGATATAAACAGAAGATGCAATATTTTTGAGATGTCAATTCTCCAAATTAATCTATAGACTAATCCTCCCTGGCTGGTGTGGCTCCATAGGTTGTAGAGTCGTCCTGTGCACCAGAAGGCTGCTGATTCGATTCCAGGCCAGGGCACATACCAAGGTTGGGGGTTCGATCCCCGGTCAGGATATAATCTATGTTTCTCTCTCCCCTGCCTCGCTCTCTAAAATCAATAAAAAACATAATTTTTTTAAAAAAAGCAATCCCTATGAAAATCCCAGCCGGCTTTTTTGTGTGTGTGGAAATTGACAAGCTGATTCTAAAATGCATATGGGAATGCAAAGGACCTATAATCGTCAAAACAACCCTGAAAAAGAGTCTGAGGGTTAACACTATTTGATTTCATGAATTATTATAAAGCCACAAAACAAAACAAGAGCACGGTACTGGCATCAGGACAGACGACCAGATTACTAGAACAGAACAACTCCAGAAATAACCCGCACATATATGGACAACGCACTTTTGACAAGGGCAGGAGGGCAGGGCAGGAGAGAGAGAGAAAAAGATTTTTTTAAAAACAAATGGAGCTAGAAAATTGGATTATACGTATGCCAAAAAATGAATTAAGACCTTACACTATAGGCAAAAATTAACCCAAAATGTATCATTAACCTCTACATAAAACCTAAAACTATAAAACTTGTAGAAGAAAACACAAAAATCTTTGTGACTTTGGAGTAAGCAAAAATATCTTAGCTATAACACCTATATCCATATTTTAAAAATCTATATTAAAAAATATCAATATATTGAACTTCGTGAAAGTTAAAAACATCTGCTCTTCAAAATATACTGCACAGGCCCCCAGAGTGGTTCAGTTGGTGTAGCGTCATCCTGCACCTAAGGGCTGCCGGTTCGGTTTCTGGTCAGAACGTACATCTGGGTTGTGGGTTTGATCCCTGTTGGGGCACATGTGGAAGGCAACCGACAGATGTTTCTCTCTCTCATCGATGTTTCTCTCTCGTGTTCCTTCTCCCTCTCCCTCTCTCTAAGCATGTCCTTGGATGAGGATTAAAAATATGTATATACTTACGCATATGCATACATATACACACACACACATATGCATATGTATATATACTGTGTAGAGAATGAAAAGATAATCCACAGGTTGGAAGAAAAACCTATATAAAAACACACAGCACTCCCCAAACTCACGAACAGGAAAACAAGCAATCCAGCTAAAAAAGGCAAAATATTTAAAGAGGTACTTCAACAAAGAAGACATACCGATGGCAAATAAGCACATAGAAAGATGCTCAACATCCTTTGTCATTAGGGAAATGCAAACTAAAGCTATAATAAGACAACACTACACACTAATTAAAACGGCAAAGATCGAGAAGATTGACTGTCAGGTGATGGCAAGGGTATGGAGTGACGAACTGTCACGCACTGCTGGTGGGGACGCACAAAAAAATAACTACTTGGGAAGAAAGTTTGGCAGTTTTTCTTTAAAAGTTAAACCTGTTGGGGGGACTGGGTGAAAAAAGGTGAGGCATTAAGCAAACACATACACACACACACACACACAACAGAGAACAGAGAGAAAGGGTGGTGGGAGGAGGTAGAAGAGGTATAGAGGGGATAAATGGTGATGGAAGGAGACTTGACTTTGGGTAGTGAACACACAATGCAATATACAGATGACATATTATAGAATTGTAACCCTGAAACCTGTATAATTTTATTAACCACTATCACCCCAATAAATTCAATTAAAAAAAAAAAGTTAAACTTGAACCTACCATACCATGATCGGCCATTCCATTCTTAGGTTCACCAAAGTGTAAAGAAAGCTATGTTTATACAAGGACTTGTAGGTGAGTTCACAGCAGGAGTATTCACAATAGCTACCCCCAAATATTGATCAACAGATGAATGGACAAATTGCAATATACCCGTTCATTAGAATACCACTTCAAAACAAACAAGAAATAAACTTAGACACACAACAATAAAGACAATCTCAATTACGCTGAGTGAAAGAAGCCAGACAATAAAGAATACATATGCTGTGACTCCATTTAGATGCAACACTGAAAAACACAAACGAATCTGTGTGACAGAAAGCACATCAGTGGATGCTTGGCGAGACTACAAAGGGATACGAGAACCCTCGGAGATGATGGCTATATTCACTCTTCTAACTGTGGTGATGGTTTCTTGGAGATAGATAGATATATATCTCACAACTTGTCAAATCGTATACTTCAAATATTGCAGTTTAGCCCCGGCAGGTTTGACTCAGCGATTAGAGTGTTGGCCCTCCGACCAAAGGGTCGCAGGGTCGCAGGTTCAAGTCCCCGTCAAAGGTACATACTTGGGTTGCAGGTTTGATCCCCAGCCCTTGCTGTGGTCATGTGGGAGGCAGCCAATCAATGCCTCGCTCACATAGATGTTTCTTTTGTTTTTTTCTCTTTCTCTCCCTCTTCCACTCTATCTAAAAAAAAAAAAAAAAATCAATGAAAAAATATTCTGGGGTGAGGATTAATCAATAATAATAACAACAAAATAATAATAATAATAATAAATATGTGCAGTTTACTGTATGCCAGTACCTCAGTCAGGCTGCTTAAATAAATACGTAAATAAATAGACTCATTCAGCCCAGCCAGTGTGGCTCAGTGGTTGAGTGCTGACCAATGCACCAAGAGGTCGCTGGTTTGATTCCTAGTCCGCGCACGTTCCCAGGTTGTGGGCCTGATTCCCAGTGCAGGACACACAGAAGGCGGCCAATCAATGTTCTCTCTCTTCGATGTTTCTCTCTCTCTTAAATCAATAAAGAAAATAATTTTTATTTTTTTATTTTTTATCCTCACCTGAGGACATTTTTTTTGCATTTACCTTCAGATAGAGTGGGGGGGAGAGAGGGAGGAAGAGAGAGGGAGAAACATCGATGCAAGAGAGACACATTGAGTAATCGCCACCTACATGACCCCAACCGGAGCCGGGGACAAACTGCAACCAAGGTACGTACCCTTAGTGGGAACCGAACCCAGGCCTGTGGTCCGCGGGTAGACACTCTAACTGCTGAGCCAAACCAGCCAGGGCAGAAAAAAAAATTTTTTAATAAAATAAATAAATAAATAGACTCATTCAGTGAAACATCATGGTCCCACCCATGTAGTCTTAGACAAAATACTGAACCTCTTGAGCTTCCATTTTCTTATCTAAAATAATAAACCTGCCCAGCTGGTGTGGCTCAGTGGATGAACATCGACCCATGGACCAAGAGGTCGCTGGTTTGATTCCCGGGCAGGGCACATGGCCAGGTTGTGGGCTGGACCCCCAGTGAGGGGCATGCAGGAGGCGGCCAACTGATGTGTCTCTCTCGTGGATGTTTCTAGCTCTTTCTCCCTCTCTCTTCCTCTCTCTCTAAAAATCAATAAAAATATATTTAAAAAAATAAAACAATAAACCTAATAATCTGTGACACATGGGGTTGTAAGTAAAAGACGGTCAGCAAATGTTGGCTCTCTTTTTAATTTTCTACTTTTCAGTCAGCAGATTGGTAGCACACAAGTTAGTAAGAAATGTTTTTATTTTTTGAATATTAAGATTGGATCACAGGTGATCCAGCAATCCCACTTCTGGGTGTTTATCTGAAGGAAATGAAATCAATATCTCAAAAGATATCTGCACCCACTGTGTTCACTGCATTACTTACAATAGCCAAAACATGGAAACAACCCAAAGGTCCATTGACAGATGAATGGATAAAGAAATTGTCACACACACACACACACACACACACACACACAGAGGAATATTATTCAGCCATAAAAAAGGAAAGCCTGCCATCTGTAGCAACATCACTAGACCCTGAGGGCATTAGGCGAGTGGAATAAGCCAGACAGAGAAAAACAAATAGTGTATGATCTAATTTACATATGGAACCTAAAAAAAAAATCTTACTTACAGATACAGAGAACTGATTGGTGTTTACCAGAGGCAGGGGTGGGGTGGGGGTGGCAGTAGGGGTGAAGGGATCAAAAGGTACACACTTCCAGTTATGAGAGAAACAACTCCTGGAGATATAATGTATGGCAAGGTGACTATAGTTAACAATACTGTATTGTATAGTAGAAAGTTGCTGAAAGTAAATCTTAAAAGTTCTCATCACAAGGAAAAATATTCTAACTATGCGTGGTGACTGATGTTAACTAAATTTATTGTAGTAACCATTTAAAAATATATACACATACAAATCATTATATTGCACACCTAAAAGTAATATAATGTTATTAGATTAGATGACACATACTTAATATTTATCTCACAGAAACAATGTTTGATTTCATGACTAAATGAAACATTTAACTATTTTTTTAAAGAAAACTCAACAGCTAATAACTTAAGATTTGTTTCCTGAGAGTGGAAAGAAAAATGATTTCCAAGATTTTGATTAAGAAATCTTAATACATATAGCTAATAAAACCCCTCTTTTCACCATTAGAAGTAGCTATTACATCAGCTTTTTACTTTAAAATTGATAATTAAGTGGAAAGAAATAAGCAAGTTTTATCCTACATTTCCTGGAAGAACTAAATTGTAGGGTAGTCGATTGTAGGCGGACCTTTTGTTTTCAACATGCCAATGACTACCCCTCAGATTACTTCCTACCTGATCACTAATAATGGGACAACTAGGTGTATGTGCATCTTGACATTATGCAACACGAAGTGTACAGCAGCCCCAGGAAGGGTTGAGTCAAAAAGGCTTCTCCTAGCCTTGGACGGTGTGGCTCAGTTGGCTGAACGCTGTCCCATGCACCAAGAGGTTGCCAGTTCCATTCCTGGTCAGGGCACATGCACTGGTTGCCGGCTTGATCCTGGGTGGCAGTTGGGGGGAGGACATTCAGGCGGCAGCCAATCAATCTCACATCTACATTACTCTCTTTCCCTCTCCCTTCCTCTCTCTCTCAAAATCAATTTAAAAATCTTAAAAAACAAAAAACAAGGAACCTGTGGGTGAAATAGTTTCCCTTCTGGGTGACAGAATAGAGGCTGTCATTCAACATTTATTTATTTCTTACCTTCATGGGCGAGGTACGTGCTAGGAGTTCCCTCCCTGAGCTTGTAGACAAGGATGGCAATACAGAACTTTCTCAAGTAACCACAGACTTACACAAACACAAGCAATGACAAGTGTTATGAAAGAAAAGGACAGACAGTACACTATCAGATGTGCTGATTGATCGGCAAGCTAGTCAGTCTCCAAGTTCAAGCCACTACAGTGGCAGCACAGGGGATAAAGCAAGGACTCTGGGTAGAATACTTGGGTTTGCGTCCAGCTCCTGCTCCTCTGACTAGCTCTGTGACCTTGAACAACTTATTGCACTCCGTAGTTCCCTCATCTATACAAAAAGTGCCTTACAACGAGGGCGGGTATGAACAGTCCTTAGGTCATAGGGTTGTTGTGAAGATGACACAGTCAATACTATATGGTGCTAGAATAGGACCTGGCAAACACTAAGCCCCTCCATAAGTGTGTCTGTTATTATCTCGATGGTCCTTTTGGCCCACAGCAAAACAGAGTATAATGCTATCAACTCTTCTGTTTGGTCAGTGAGGGACTTAATGAGTTAATGTTTTGATATTTTTCCATTGATTTTTAGATAGAGTGGAAGGGAGGGAAGGAGAGAGAGAGAAACATAGATGTGAGAGAGACACATCAATTGGTTGCCTCCCACACGACCCTGACTGAGCCAAGGATCGAACCTGCAACCCAGGTACATGCCCTTGACTGGGAATCGAACCCATGACCCTTTGGTCCTCCAGCACCACTCTAACCGCTGAACCAAACCAGCCAGGACTGAATTTCCTTTTTTAGTAAACCCTAGCTGCACACTAGTCACTCAGAGAGTTTGTTAATATTTTTTAAATATATACATTTTATGTAAATATACACTATATTATGCATAATAGCTTTACAGTTGTGAATACTCAAAACAGTTTATTCTAGTATTATTTTTTATTAATTATTGTATTATTTATTAGTATAACACCTGTAAGCCTACTTTTGTCCAGCCCTGTATATGATGCAGGGGCTCCATTCTGAAACAAGAGTTAGAAATTCTAGGGATAGAACCTGGGCATCCGTATGTTCTAGAAACTCCTCCACGAAGTCTAATGTGCAGCCAGGGTCGGTAACCACGGATCTTGGCAATCAATCACATTCTAAAGCCGATTCAAAAGTGTAAACCTCTCTAGTGAATTGAGCTTACTGTTAATGTTATTATCATTGCGACCTCAACGGTTTACAACCCATGATGGGATTTTACAGCATACAAATGATGTCACCCTTCAGAGAGTTGAAGTTCCCTCCACTTTCTTTCTCCTCTCATACCATCCCCCATTTCTCCAAGAGCAAAACAAACATCCAGACAAAAAGTGCTCAACTCCATTGCACCCCCACCTCTGCTCATCTGTGTCTAGCTCCTGTGCTTTTCTATGCGCGATTAACTTGGGAACCGGCCAGAACACACTCCTGGGTGAAATTATTTACACACAGAGGCCACCCAACCCAACCCAACTTTGGAGCAACCTCCTTTGCATCCGGAAAGTCTTAAACACGGAAAAGCTAACACGATTGTTTGTCTTGAGGGTGGGGAGAGGAAGGAATCAGGTGTTAATGACCTGGACATTGTTTTTCCATTTATGAATTGACAATTCGAGAAACGGGCTAATTCAATTTTGAGGGGGTAGAGGGCAATGTTCTATAGCTCCACTGGGTCGTAGTTACATACCAGTGTAAACATTTGCCAAGATTCGTTGGTCCGTACAATTACAGTCCGTCTTTTATTGTAGGTAAGGCACACCTCGGTTTAAATAAATAACTAAAATAGCACAGGGAAAAATAAAGTTGGCAGTCATTCGCTAGGAGGTTCACGTGGGGAGAGACACCAAAGAAGAGTCCCAAGTTAGTTCCAAACGCCCTCTTTGACCTGTTCGCTCTGGCTCACAGGGGAAAGGGCTGGAGGGTCTAAGCACGTCCTTGGACAAGGACTGTCGGGGAGGAAGGAGACGGAGCCCCATGCACCGTGGGGCTTCGCCTGGATCTGGCTAGCCGCGAGCGTGCGGGGTTCTTACCAAGGAGCAAGAAAGACAGGACCCACTGAAACACCGCCGCCGTCTGCAGCCGCCGCTCCAGCGGGATGTTGAGCGGCGCAAACTCGACCTTCATGGCCCGGCCCCGGCGAGGACGGCGCGACTGCGGCCACCTGTAACCTGGCTGTTCTGCACCGCCCGTGGAAAGTGCGCGGTCGGATCAGGGTCTCGCGCGGGATACCCGCTGGGCGGAGAGCGGGAGGCGGCGCCGGAGCGGCCGGGTGCTGGACTTTGTCTTGGATGGGAGGGCGCGCCGCGGCCGAGGCTGGGGGCTGCCAATCACGCGCGCCCGGGCCCCGGAGCAGCTGGCGCGCCCGGGGCGCATTGGCTGGCGCGCCCGAGCGCCAGCGACAGCGCTCCGCGTTGAATGCAAGGGACGCCGAGAAAGATCAGCTGGCTGCCCGCCGAACCCTGCAGAGTGGGCTCCTGCAACCTAGCCGAGGCCCCGGGATCTCCACCGGGATCTGACTGCGGTTCAGCTGATTGATCACCGTGCGCTCAGCTTCAGCATCCGCCTTTAAACCCACCCCTTCCTCTGAACACTCTGCGTCTGGGGAAGGGTTAGTTCAAAGTATCGCCCACCAGCTGGAGAAAAACGCGGGACTTCGCTTCTCTGGGGGCAGAGCATTCATAGGTTTATTGGTCTGTACCCACCACACCTCCCCAAACTGGGGAGGGGCGGAGATTTGTGTCCTCGGATTCCCCCACGAGTCCTGGAAATCTTTTACTTATTCTCTCGTTCAACAGACACTTACTGAGTACCTACCACGTGCCAGGAACCATCTGGGCACTGGGGATACACCCAGTAACCTAGTCATTCCCGGATTCTGCTCTCAGAGTCCAAATTAGGGGGAGTGGGGCAGTGATGAACACAAGCAAAATAACCCCACAATTGGGTGTATAACTGCAAGGTGAAAGCCTGCTCTGAATGACTGGAAGAAGGCTCTAGGATAGACTGGACAGCCAGGGAAGTCTCTGAAGAAGTGACCTTGACTTGAACTATAACGATGAGTCTAGACCAGGCACAGGGAAGCACATGTGCAAAGGTCATGTGGCTGAAATCCAAAGACCAATAGAGAACAAGGAGGAGATTGGGGTGGAATGGGGCAAAAACTGGGTCCAAAGGTCAGCTCCTTTACCCTGAGACTTGCCACCGAAAGGTTTCAATTATGATGTGTTAAATAGATGAATGGGTTTCAAAGAGTGCCCAATGCTTTTGCACCCAGTAGGTTTTCTTCATAGCTGGAAAACTCCAGGTGGCAGGAGGCTGCCAAGGCATTGCTTGAAGGGATCTGGAACGGGGCAAAGTACAGCCGCTTGCCTCTTCAGGAGGGAGATGCATCTCAAAAATGCATCGTTAGGCAATTTTGTCTTTGTTTGAACATCATAAAGTACTCTTATACACGCCTACGGTATAGCCTTCTGCTCTGTAGTGGAGCAAAAATAAATTTCCCTCTATGCTTCTGGTTCTTGGCTAAGACATCCCAGTAATAAAAAACAGATTAACAGGAGAAAACCAAAAGTTTAATAACACATATACTGCCTGTACTTTAATACCAGGAGTAATACCCCTTGAAGGGGGTATTAACCCACAAGAAGCACATCATCTTGTTAACTGTCCTATAATCCAATCCCCACCTACTTTCTCCCACCTCCACATAATCTTCCTTTTTTAAGAGACTGAAAGTATCAGTTACTTTATTTTAATTAATTTATTTTAATCCTCACCTGAGGCTATTTTTCCATTTATCTTCAGATAGAGTGGGAGGGAGGGAGGGAGACAGAGAAACATCGATGTGAGAGGGACGGTTGCCTTCTGCATAACCTAACCAGGGCCGGGGATGAACCAGAACCAAGGTATGTGCCCTTGGCTGGAATCAAACCCACGACTGCTTGGTCCACAGGCCGACACTCTAACCGCTGAGCCAAAACTGCCGGAGCCCACATAATCTTCTTTACATTCCTTCCTGAATTTCATTTTTTCTAATGTTTTTATTGATTGATTTGGGAGAGAGAAGCATACATTGCTTTGTTGTTCCACTTATTTATGCATTCATTGGTAAATTCTTGTATGTGCCCTGATAGAGGATATGAGCCCACAACCTTTGCACATCTGGAAGACACTCTAACCAATAGAGCTACCCAGCGAGGGCCCCTCCTTAATTTTAAATGCATAAAAGAAGCTGTGAAACTGTTATTCCTGGGAACATTTGAGAGCAGATGTCATCAGTTTGACTCAAACTCTATAAAAATTATCTACAGTTTTGGACATTTCTGACACCAGATTTGCCTCAGGCATCACCCTTGGTGCTGATGACAAAGAAATGAATGAAGACAGGGTCTCTCAGTCTTTGAGAATTCACTTGCATTCACTCCCTGACTACGTGTGGAAAGGCTTCTACGTGTTGGCACTAGGTGGGGAGTGGAGATGGGCTACAGTAGTGAAGAAGAAAGGTCTCTGTCCTCAGTAGGTTCACAGTCTAGTGGGAGAAACAGAAAATAAACACAGAGGTTATAGCCAAATGTGTGGCAGTGCCCCAACAGAAACATGCCGTTTCCAGTGATTGAGAATCATGAGACCTGCCCTGGCCAGGTAGCTCAGTTAATTAGCGTGTCGTTCCCATACACCAAAGTTGTGGATTTGATCCCCGTCAGGGCACATACAAGAACCAACCAATGACTGCACAGCCAAGTGGAACAACAAATCGATGTCCCCCCCTTCCCTGTCCCCCTTCCTCTCTCTCTCTAATCAATCAATAAATAGAGAGACAGACAGACAGAATAATGAACACCTATCAAGAGCAGATTGAAGGCAAGAAGAATGGAAGTAGGGAAACTCTAAGGATGCTATTGCAGGGTAGGAGCAGAGGGTGAGGACCTGGTCTACTGTGGTACAAAGGAGAGTTGAAGTGAATATGGGATCTACACAGGAGATATAAATGGTAGGACTAGTTGACAAATTGGGTTCACAATCTGTTGGTAAATAAGAAAACCAAGGTACCCAACTCCTACTCCTAATCACTTGGAGCTTCCTGCATTGAATCCTGCTTTTGTCACTTTCCCAGAGCCCTTAGCAGGTAAAAAAGAACTGTGATCGCCCACCGAGCCCACTGAAGCAAAATGAGCTCCCAACAGGGCTCAGGCAGTGAAACATCCTGTCACCATTTTAATCGGCAATGAACTCATGCACTTGTTTGTTGTTCAATACATGTTTATTTGTATACATATTGTGTCGCAGGTTATTGGAGTTAAGTGATTATTGGAATTAAAGGGTAAGAGAGTTTTAATTCTAGAAACAGCTTATTTATAGGAGTTTAGTTTATAGGAAACCATAAACCTTAGACATTATCTTTTGTTTTCTTTCTTTCTTTTTAAAAATATTTTTCCTTTATTGATTTAGAGAGAGAGAGGGAGAAGAGAGAGATAAAAACATCAATGAGAGAGAACATCAATTAGCTGCCTCATGACTGCCCCTCCCCGCCACTGGGGATTTGGCCCACAATCTGGGGAATTGAACCAGCAACCTCTTGGTGCATGGGTCGATGCTCAACCACTGAGCCACATCGGCCAGGCAGACATTTTTTTAAACTACACATTTCGTAGCATAGGGAGCCAAGAGCAGAGAAGTTCAACGATTTGCCCAAGATAACGCAGCCAGTTACTGGCAAGGAGGACCCAGATCTCTTCACAGTTATACTAAACCACGAGGAGAAGCAACATGGTAGGGGTCATGGTTTCAAACTTTGATTTAACAGGGTTGTTTTTAAAAAATCTTCAAAGAACTGCAATTTATAAAAGTAATCCAGCCCTGGCCAGTTTGGCTCAGCAGTTAGAGTGTTGTTCTGCGGTCCAGAGAGACCGGGGTTCGGTTCCTGCTAGGGGCACGTACCTCAGTTGCAGTTTGTCCCCGGCCCTCATTGGGTCGTGGGGGAGGCAGCCACTCAATGTGTCCCTTTTATGTCGATGTTTCTCTCTCTTTCTCTTCCTCTCTCTCCCTCCCACTCTATCTGAATAAAAAATGGAAAAATGTCCTTGGATGAAGATAAAAAAATAATAATAATAAAAGAAATCCAAGTGAAGCTTCTCCTGTTGAAAAGGAATGGGGAACCTGGCTCCCACCTTCTCAGCATCTTCCTCCTTCCCAAGGTGACTGTATTTTTAATAAAATTAAATCAACATCAAACAGGCACAGAAAAACTCAGGTAGAAAATCACTACTTATTTGCCCACCTGCCTGTCCCCTCCTCCCCTCCCCTCCCCTCCCTTCCTCTCCCCTCCCCTCCCCTCCCCTCCCCTCCCCTCCCCTCCCCTCCCCTCCCCTCCCCTCTCTTTCTTTCTCTTTTGTGTGTGTGTGTGAGGAGCCTAATATTTGGATAAATAATGGAATGGGTTGCGGCACAAAAACCGTATGTAATATATCAGTATTGCTGAATGCTTAGTATCCAGCAGACACTGTACTGTGTACTCTGTCTGCCACATCTGATTTAAACCTCACGACTCTCTCGGGTAGGGACTATTATTCTTGTCACTAATAGAGGAAGTGAGACTAAAGGTCAAACTAGTTGTTCACCTACTAAGTGGAAGAATCACTTTCTGTTTTTTGAAAATAGGTTGGTCTGTTTCCAGGGCCTGAGCAAATAACTGCCGTACTACAGTCTCTCCGATGATGTCACAAGGAAGAAAAGGAATATTATTGAAACCGAGGAACAAGTCAAGGAACAGTGGGCAGAACAATGCACAGGACTGGCTTGTCATAGTTCTGTTTGGGGTTAGTTATCCATTCAATCAACACGTATTTACTAATCACATACTATGTGCTTGGCATTGGGTATATATGAGTAATAGAATATACTTAAATTTTCAATGGAGTAATTCAACCAAAATGTATCAAGCACCTCTGCTGTGGCAAGTCTGAGGAGGACATAGCAATAGGAAATCAACTCTGTTCTGCTTGAAGATCTGACATGCCACTAACCAAGTGTGGTTCCTCTTTCTACTGCTCACCCCTACGAACAGAAGGTGACAGTTCAGATTGCCTCACAGATTACAAAAACTAGCTCTGGGACATAATGTAAAATCACTTCCCAGTTGTCATTTATTTCCTGTGTATTTTACCATAGCTAACTTCTACTAGCAAAAAGATAATGTTTTTCTATTACATGAGATTTTACTGTAACTTACATTAAACCATTCC